GACTATTGCCTGGGCAAAACTTCGATCCAGCTCTGGACACTCTCGGAGGAAGGCTGATGGCTCAACCTGATTTGCTTGGACAGCAAAGTTTGCTGTTCATTGAGGCAGTGCACGTCTATCCGGTATGCCGACGCGAAGCAATAAAGGAACTGGACGTCAAGGATACCAGGGTTGGGTTGCCCATTCAGTATTCCTAGAATCTTTGTTCAATGCCCACAAGACAAGAAGAGGCTGAGTGTTTACAACAATCTTGTTGCAACAGTTTCAAAAGGTAGCATGAATGACTAGGACTCGGAGATTCAATCAATCAATTTCGGTTGTGAGAACAACCGTCTGCATTAAATTGTGTCCATAAGCATGAGACAAAATTGTAACGAGGTCCGCTTGACCACCACCAAATGTAGAAGAGCTACTGGCCCGTAGCGGTCGCGTTGACAAATACAAGACGATTGATGCGAAGAGGCGTCAGTGAAAACCAGCCGATAATGAACAGACTAAATAAGGGCACTTTTCCCTCCACAAATAGCAAGTGTGAACGATTCCACCAGGGCTGGTAGGCGAAGTGAAATCGAAGAAATGGTACGCCAGACCGACTCACCTGATGAACATTGCCCATCATCGAGGTGTCACCAGAAGTTGCGTGATGACCGAGGCGAAGAGCGGCGTACGAGGCTGTGTTGACGTGGTCAGGAGTGGTGCTGGTGGGATAGGGATGGTGTTTGTGCAGAGTCTGCGAGTAGACCGCCGCCAGAGATTGGCATAATTCCGAGTATGGAGGATGGCCGGTGGATTCAAGGCTCGAGTTGACGGGTCTCCGGGACGGAGCGGCAAGCCCGGCGCCAGCCTCGAGGCAAGTGGAAGCCGAAGCCAAAGCCTGAGGGCCAGACGAAGCGAGCACTTCGCCGGAAGGAAGGAGAAGCTCTCTGGCGCGGACAACTACCCGGCCAGCGCGTGACCGTTTAATCTGAGCCATAGGCTGTCGTGGCAGGGAAGCCTATAAAGCACGTGCAGAGGACGTGCCACAACCTTTTGATTCGTCAATCTCCAAATCGGATCGTTGATTGGCCAGCATAGACAGACAGCAGCAAGCGCTGTTTGACACGGACCAACAAGCGTTGAAACACAGAAGCGGGCTATTAGAAGTCCCAGATGCAATTGGGGCTATCGTATATTGGTAAAATTGTAAATGAAAAATGAAAAATGCAAAAATGAGAAAATGAAAAAATAAAAAAATGAAAAAATGAAAAAATGAAAAAATGAAAAAATGAAAAAATGAAAAAATGAAAAAATGAAAAAACAAAAAAATGAAAAGATGAAAAAACGAAAAAAATGTAACAGCAACGAGACTGACGGATTTGTAAATTAGTTTACTTGTTAT